ACACACACACACACACACACACACACACACACACACAAGTGATTTAGAAAATTTATAATTTAATTTTTTGATTTTTCTTTATAGGATTTGATAATATTAGGCATGTGCTTACCAGCATCCTGTTCTAAGGACCAACTTTCTACTCTTCTAGAAAACTTGTTAAGAAATAGAATTCTTTTTCAAGGCGAACTTTATTCAGCCGACTATACGTTGGTTGAAGTAAAAGATTTAATTGATGACCATCGATGGATGTTGAGTGGAACATTCATTACAATGACGTATATCAAAAATTTTTTTAGAATTTACGATTGCCCCTTATGAAATAGAGAATATAATTATATTTTGTTGTTCTCTTTTTAGAGTAATAGTCGCACTCACATTACTATTAATGATAATAGGAACGGCTTATGATCTTCTGATATACCAAAAACGTTTAAAGAAAGATGACAAGTATCTTCAAGACCATGAAAATGATAATTCTCAAGCAATAGGTAAGATAATTAATTAATTTTTAAACCTTGTGTTACAATATACTTTTGCACCAGTATCATTCCATACAAAATTTATTGTATGTACCCTATCGTCTCATGGTGTTCGACTCCTATATGTTCCAGTATTTCATACGAAACCTTTGCATGAGTCAGATACGAGTAAAGGTTACTAGTAACAAAAGGGTTATTATAGTAAATATTTTTGAATAAACAAATAATTATTTAATATCATAATGTTAATTGTTTTTAGATATTCCACAAACACTAAACGATAATAACAAGGACCAACTGAAAAGATTAAAATACCACAGATTTTTTTGTAAAATACTCCTAGCTTTCTCCGCATATTCGAACACGAAAATAATATTTAATATAAAATCTGAAGGTATTAATGTACCGGTTATACACGGATTAAGATTTCTTTCGATGATGTGGGTTATTTTTCTGCACTCATTTTACTATTCAAAGGATTTTTATGGTTAAGTATATATAATGAAGATTTAATCTCATTTATATTCGAATAAGATATTTTAGTTAATTTTATTTTGATTTATTTATTAATTTTCTTTTTGTTTTGTTATATTTATTTAAAGACAATAGACAATGGGCTTTATTATTAATGGAGGGTTTTTTCGCTCAAGTGATACCCAATGCGCCCCTGGCAGTTGATACATTTTTTTGTTTTGGTGGTTTTCTGGTCGCTTACTTGTATTTAAAAAAAGACATGAGCAAGAATATACGTAAACCGAATGATTATTTAAATATAATAAAATTATATTTTCTCGTTCTCCTGAAAAGGTTTATTAGGTAAGACTATTTTTTTAAATGCCATATATCTAATATAATTGAAGTCATTTATGCATAAGATTTTTAAATCTAAGGGTGGTAAGAACAATTTTTTTATTTTACAATTAATACTAATAATAATTTTGTCCCATATATTGGTTGATCCTAAATACGATTCTTTATTCAAAATCCTTTATATTTGTGGATAGTGAAATGAGGCTTTAATAAACGATTAAAAAATATTAATAAAATTACGAAAGAGAGTATATTCCGCTCTTTCTACTATTTTAGATTGACACCTACTTTCATGGTATTAATCGGATTAGTGCAGATAAGTACAACGTGGAACGGTAAAACTTCACTGTTTTATATAACGGAACGTTTAGACGAAAATTGTCAAAAATATTGGTGGAGGAATATCCTTTATATTCACAACCTTTTTAGCCTACAAGATTTGGTATGGACTTACGATAACAGCAATTTTTATAATTCTCGTATTTATTAATGAATAATAGATATAATAATTATGATCGATATCGATCTTTGCAGTGTATGAGTTGGAGCTGGTACTTGGCGAATGATATGCAGTACTTCCTCATAATAAATTTTCTGTTATTTTTATCTTCAACGTAAGTAAACTCACATTTTATAAAACAATCTTTTTATATAAAAATTCTTTTTAAGCGTAAATTATTTTAATTGATTAAACATAATTGCATTTCAGGTACTTCAAAATAGCAGCTAGTTTGTTGGGTATATTGTTTACCTCATCGATAATTCTTACTGGCTATATATCATACATTTTAAATTATATTCCTACGTAAATATCAATATTAAATATTATTCATGCTTGTGGTAATGTATATTTTGGGAGCATTCTATAGAAAACTTACCCAAATCGTGTATTGTGCATAATGAGCAAGTATTTCACACAAAAAAATTGCTGGGTTATTTTATAGAATGCAAAGTTGGTTTCGTTTAATCTGTAAAATGGGCTTCAATGTAGTGTTTTTTATTCCGGAAGTGGAGAAATCTGAAACTATTGTAATTGAAACAAACCGTGATAACTTGTTTTTTTTTTGTACTTTGGCTTTAAACATAGTCATCTAAAGTACATTTTCTAGATTGACCGAAACTCTCTCGACATTTTATAGAATTACCGGACATTCATGCAATGTCTTACTAAAACGGGTATTGTATAAATTGTTCTCAGCAATATATTCCCTATTCTGTACATATGGTTCATTCCTCATCAAATCGACAGTTTTGACCCTGACCTCTTTCGATTTTAGTGAAACTTTTTTATCATTTTCAATTTCATTAAAAATGTCTTTGAAAATTTAAAAATATTTTTTCTTCTGACCCATAAAAAGTTTTGAATTTTTCAAACAAATGACTTTCTTTTTTAAATATCCGAAACTTTGTCAAAAATTGACTTATGGGGACATTTTCCTTTTAATATTATTTTGTTTTTAAATGTATTTTTTTGAAAAAAATATAAAACAAATATTTGAAGTCAAATTCTTTAAGAAATTTTTTTCTTTTTTGGAAAAAAACCTTCAATATTTCAAATTTTGGTATTGTTTATTTTGTTTTTAATTTTTTCTTTTAAACTTTAGATCATTTTGAACCTAATTCCGAGTTTCGTCTGATGGGCCGACATTGCTTTTTATGCTTTTTCCTAATTCAATTATGTATTTTTTTATTTTTTTGCTATTAATAATTGTGGTTTTTAAACTAAAATAAACCTAGATAAATATATATAAATATTTTTCACTCTATTTAATGATCTTAGTTTTATTAAATACTATCAAAGATTATGATTATAAAAATATTTCAATGCACCATTGGTTAATTTTTCAAGTAAATACAATACACAATTAATTTAGATTTACTTGGTCGCTTAAATAACTTACAAACAGTATATTGTTCTGAATTAGAATTATTTCTTACAAACAAACATCCTCATCATTACTTTGTATAACGATATGCAACCACTTAGAGTTATTGCAATGCTTTTGGTTTTTAAAAATATGTTAACTAGATCATCTAAAGCTTTATTGTAGATTTCAGTAGAAAATGATAAAAAAATTTCATCTAAATCAAAAATAGTCAGAGTCAAAAATAGACGATTTGACTTGAAATGCCCCATATAAATTTATTAGGCATTTAAATATAATATTCAATTATAATTAATGAATTTATAACAATATTTAAATATAATTAATGAATGATGAAATAATTAAAGGATTAACAAATTACTTTTTTTTCATATTATAGAGTAGACAGAGTATATAATTTATTTGAAGAATTGTATTTTCGACCATGGACTAGGATAGGACCTTACCTAGTGGGTGTGATGACTGCTTATATTGTTATCAAATTAAACAACAAATTATTATGGAAAAAAGTATGCAAATATTCTGATCGCTTGGCGCTTACAAATACTTCATTATAAAATTATTTTCTTGATGATGTTGATGCTTACACTAATGTTGATATAAATGATTTTAGAAAACAATAATACTCTTTTCGATACTGGCTAGTATTTGTAATTTATTAGTACTGTTTGGATTATATGAGAGAAGAATATCAGTTTTAACTGCTGCTATTTACGTTGCTCTCAGTAGAACTGTATGGGCAATTGGTATTGCATGGCTATTAATAGCATGTTGTACAAATAATGGAGGTATAAATAAATATCTGATTCTATTCTTTATTGCGACACTATTACTTAACAATTATTATTAATTAAATCGATTTATATTTTAGGTATAGTAAATAGTATTCTTTCATGGAAAGTTTGGATACCATTTAGTAGATTGACTTATGCAGCTTATCTTTTAAATCCAATTGTTATAAGTTCTATGAATTTCTTAAGTGAAAGTTCTCTACACATTAATTATTCAACTTTCGTATGTATTTTTTTATTATTTTTGGATTTTAAAGATTGATTAAATGAATTATTAATTATTTTCCTCTACTTTATTCTGTTTTATTTTGCAGGGAATTTTATATGTAGGATACATAATAATTGTTTACATTTGTTCTTACATGGTATCGTTGATGTTCGAATTGCCATACATCTACTTGATGAAGGAAGTAATGGATTATTTGAATATAAAGACATGATTCTGTTTTTTCGCTTTCATAATATTTCTTTGTCATTGTAGCTGACGATTGCAATGAAATGAAACGATACAACTACTTTTCTTCCATGTTTCTACGTGTTTTTTTTTTAAATGTGGGATGTTTGAAAAGTCTATATTCTATTAAAATATTTTAATCAATAAGCATATGATTGCTTATACTTTTTATAAGTATCATTAATTGGTATTTAGAACTCTAATTGTCATTGCCGTAAATACCAAATCTTTTTGTTGTTCTCGTCCCTAAGTGCGACCTCTCCATTCGTGGTCTTCGTAGCCTATGTCCTTAAAATCCCTTAATAATATTTTCCTCCAATCTTCATCACGGTCTTCTCAGTGGGTAATATTTCTTCTATGTTTAAGTGTTTCTATTTTATTGAAAAATTGGTATAAAATTCTTTACTATGCAAATATTATAATTAGTAATTATGAATTATATAGAATATAATAATTGTATTGTCTGCAATATTTTACAAAAAAAAAGAATTACCAGATACATTCGAAGAAAAGAATTAGACAAATCTGTAGAATACATTAGAAGCAGCTGAAAAACTCTATTCAAAAGCAAATAATTCATTGTTACTTTTTTTTGTTTTCTTATAAAATGTACTTGATTCATAAGACATTTAATACGTTCATTGAATTTATTTTTTATATTTTTTTCTATTAAATATCAAAATATATGTATCGACCACAAGCCATATAAATAAATTATTTTCCTAATTTTAATATTTGCGTAATTAAGAATCTTATACGAATTTTATAATAAAATGAAAAAATTTTTAAATAGAAGAAAAATGACACGTTCTTTACAAAAACAAATTATACTTGCTATTATATTTGTAATAAAAATACTATAACTTACTGTAGAAATATAGAAAAATAATATAATAACAATATTATATAATAAATTATTTTTTTCGTGATACTACGCACTCGTCTGATACTCTCGAAACTTGCTTTTATGTAGGTTTCACTTATAATTTGTGTGATCTACACATGTAATATTTTTTCTTTTCAATTTAATCATACTGACCTTGGGCCACAGCAACGCTTGGCAGGGCACAGCTATAACCTATGAAATCGTAAAATTTTTTATATTATTTTAATTATATAAGTATAATTTTTTTAATGATGTATAAATGAACGTTATTTAAATTAGAATATACTTATAAATTAAAACTTTATTAAATATAATTAATATCTTTTTTTTATTATTTTATCTTATTGTCTATAATTATAGAGTGTTAGCACGAAGGAATAAATTATTGGAGTAATTTATTTTTTGTTATGCTAAAGTACTATGATTTATTACGTGTGCGTATATAAGCACACACACCCATTTAGTGCACACACATTTCACTCGCATATAAATTTAATCATGATTCTTTTTTCCCAGCCAACTTAGGTAACACAGTAACCATAAAAAACTGTTTGTTCGACTTTGAATTGTTACTTTGGTGCACGTAGAAAACCGAACATTAAAAATGTTTCTCTCACCTCAAGCATTTTGTTTATATTTAGGCAATCATTGTTTTCCAAAACGAAGCACGATCGTTTGTTCGGACGACATATTAAGGGGGTACTCTGGTCTAGAAATTTGAAAAAATCAATTTTTTTCATATTTTCAAAGCTTAACCATTTAAGAATTATAATTATTATTATTAACTGGCATTAGGAACTCGAAAGTTCATTGCCGCTAATACCAAATCCCGCCATTGTTCCCGTCCCTGAGCGCGATTCTTCCATTCGCGGTCTTCGTATCCTATTTCTTTCAATCTCTTCTAATATTATCCTCCCATCTACGTCTCGGTCTACCTAGTGGTCTTTTCCCGTATGGTATACCGACCAATATTTTGTGCGCCGTTCGATCCTCCCCCATGCGCGCCACGTGACCAGCCCATCTTAATTGGCGTGATTTTACGACGTCGATAATGTCCGGTTTATTGTACAATCGATGTACTTTAATGTTATGAAGTTGTCTCCATTCGCCCGTTTCTCATCGCGTTTTGCGATGAACTTTGTTTTCAAAAACCCTAAATTTCTTTTCGTCTCGTAACGTAAGCGACCACGATTCGCTACCATAAAGGACTACCGGCAGGATGATTGTCCTGTATATCCCGATTTTTAATCGCCTAGACAGCAACCGCGAGCTGAGTAATTTGTTAACCGAATAAAAGCATGAGTTGCCTAGATTGATTCTTTTCTTAAGTTCGTTAATTTCGTTCGTCTGGTTTATTATCGATCCTAAATATAATTAGACGCGCAGTACTGAGCGGTTTTTAAGTGTACAATTCATTAGTTACAATAGTAAACAGGAAACACTAATAGTCCGGGAGCTAGCAACGTTTTCGAAAGAGAGTTTTGGGTGAGCTGATTTTTTGATATGTCGTTCTTCTTGATCTTTCGGTTAGAACTTGCACTATTTGGCTGGCTGTAGATCTTGCGTTTACTAGTGCGCATCCTACCTGTACTGGTAATAATCCTAGATTTTAAAAGAATGTTGAGAAGCCTAATTTTCTATTTATTGACTTTAGATAGATTTACCAAACATAAATATTTTATTGCCATGTACTTTCCTCCTTGCTAAATATCTGCCATATGCGATTTTTTTCAAGTGAAAATTTCCTTAGAATAGGAGTAACTGAAAAGTAAATAAACGGAAACGAAGCAATGAAACGGCTGCTATACTAAATAACGACAGAAATAGAGACAAACATATAGGATTGAGCCTGCGAGAGAATGAGACGGAATATAGCTGTACAGTTTTTTCCTATTCTCGGTCTCCTCTTAATGCTATGCTTCTTAGTTAGTTAGCGATAGCTCCTGGTTGTATATGTTTGTGTTTGTGTGCGACTGCATACTACAAAGCGTGGACACATATTATGTCGATACTCGAAATGTTTGTAGGATGAGGAGCAGCTGACAAATTCCATTCCCAAGCAAGTAAATTACTGTTATATTTTTATTTTGTTTCTTTATAAAATATATTTGATGCAAAAAGACAAAATATTTCTATTAAATTTGATTTTTATATGTTTTTATAAAAAATATACGAAGAGAGAGACATGTACTGACCCATGCATTTATCAAAATTATATTACAAATTGTGATATTTGCGTATTTAAGAAACATATACTAATTTTTCAATAAAATAAAAACATTTTTAAAAGATGTATAACGCCCAGCGTGAATTGGTGGAGCTTACCACGGAGCTGAAATTTGAGACTCGTAGTGTGTGTATTTCGATAAGCTGAGAGAGCGAAACGATTCAATGCATTTTTTAGATTTCTCGTTGTTCAGATCTTTATTTAGACGAGAGTATCTACAAAGATAAGTTTGTGGTCCAAAGAATAAAGACGAAATATGTTAAAAATAATAAGGGTCTCGCAGTGTGGCGCAGGCTACAGAGTTGAAAAAACATTTCTAGATAATATCTTTATTAGATCTCTCATTGCATTTTATCAGAACCTTCGTTCAGTCCAGCAGTATTTTCCATATGATTTTTGTAATGTCTTTATTTCGTCTATCCTAAAATGTTTGTTATATAGTGCAAGAATGTAGATGAATGCGGGAAATAAAAAACCATACTTACAAAAAAAATTTTATACCTGAGTTTCAAAAAATGGTTTATTTATATTTACTTAATTTCTCACGAATTAAATTTCCTTTGATAAACATTCTACCATTTTTGTTTCTATCTACGGCTATCACATCCAGCATTTCATTTTTATTGCTTGAATTTGGAAAAGTGCATTTTTTATCAGCTATTTACCCAGAGACCATACCGGTGACCTTTATTATATATGGTAATAATATTATAATAAATAAATGCTACAATTATCTTACTCTTGAAACTGTGTTTCTAAAAATTTTTTAACGTCTTGGTGGGTTGCGTTTTATAGGATAACCGGACAATTTGTGAAATACGAGCTGCTTTTTTAAATTGCCTATAAAACGTTGAAATTAAGGGGGTATTCTAGTCTAGAAATTAAAAAAAATAGATTTTTTTTCATATTTTCAAAGCGTAACCTTTTAAGAATATGTCCTTAAGAGGATTTTTCAAAATTCAATTTATTTTCGGAGATATAGCTGTTTTAGTGAAGCGGCATCCTATATCCTTCCCTTATTACGCGAAAATTTGAACGCATTTTTCTAAAAACTGTTTTTCTTTTCACGGTTATCATGATATCTCAAGTTCTACTAAACCGATTTGCTTGAAATTTGGTGGAAGTCCTCTCTATGCATTACTCTATCGTGCTAACTAAAATCTTAAAAAATTTTCAATTTTTACTATTTTTAAAAAATTCGGAAAAGTAAAAAAAGTGGTAAAAATAATGTATCTTTTTTCAAACAGCTGTAATTTAGTGTAAAAAAAAACTTATTTTAATTCTTTTAGTTCGAACGATAGCATCATTATTCTAAATTAATAATCTTTTTTATTTTTTTATTTCGGATTACTAGAAGAGTTGCAATCGTGACAACCGTCGCGCACCATTTTTTGGGAACCCTCCACTTCATCAGCCTATATCTTTTTCAATTTTTAATTCTTTCACAATGTTTTTTTTCATGTATTCTTGAAATATTAATAAATATCTTTTAACATTATAGATAGTGAAAATATTATTCGTCTTTTTGTTATTGCACTTGACAAAGTACCTAAAAAGTACCTAAAATTTATGCCTCTAGACCAGAATATCCCCTTAAATACTATGATTAGGCATTGTCATATTTGCAATTACCGGTAACAAATAAATTTTATAAACTTATGCATAAATTATTCCTGATATTTTTTAAAAATTTAGCATTAACAAAAATTTTTTTACCTTATAAACCTTTTTAAGAGAGTGAGAAAATATAATTTAATTATTTTTAAATAATTATACGCGCGCGCTCGGTTTACGTATACTCTTGCCCATTTCTTTCTTTAAATACAAGTAAGCGACAAGAAAACCACCAAAACATAAATATGTATGAACTGCAAGGGTCCATTGAATATTAGTTGTCCGATCAAACCCTCCGAACTTCTTGTAAAACTCGGTTTATGGTCTTTAAATAAACATAAAAGATTAAAAATAAAATAATGAAGGTAATCGTAATAAAAAATGAAATCTCTTATATTAGTATAAATTAAATTAAATCATAATCATTAGAAATTTACCATAATAATCCCTCGAATTATAAAAAATATGTATGATGATAATCCATATCATTGTAAGAGTTCTTAATCCGTGTATAAACGGTACATTAATATTGTCTGACTCCATTCTAAATAATTTTTTCGTGTTTGAATATACGGAAAAAGCAAGAAATATTTTACAAAAAAATCTGTGGTATTTTAATTTTTCTAGTTGATTCTTGTTACTATCGTCTAGCTCTTTTAGGTCTTCTAAAAAAATTAATATTATGATATTAAATAATAATCTGTTTATCTAGAAGAATAAACTATTATAACTCTTTTGTTACTAGTTACCAATACACATATATCCTTTATGCAAAGCTTTCGTATGAATTACTAGAAAATATCAGAGTTGTACCTCATCTTGCGGTAGGGTACGAACAAAGGATTTTTTATGAAATAATACTTACGTAAAAATATTTTATAACAAAAGGATTAAAAATTTATAAATAAACTTACCTATTGTTTCAGAATTTTTACGGTTGTGAATATACTTATAATGTTTCTTTAATCGTTTTTGGTATATCAGAACATCGTAGCTCGTTCCTATTATCATTAATAGAAATGAAAGTACAACTATTATTCTAAAAAAAAAAATAACAATAACAAAATATAATTTTATTGTATATTTTATGATGGACTATCAAGAATTTTTTATGTAAGTCATTGTAATGAATGTTCCACTCAACAACCATCGATGGTCATCGATTAAATCTCTCACTTCAACTAACGTAAAGTCGGCTGAATATAGTTCGCCTTTAAAAAGATTTCTATTTCTCATCAATACTTACAGAAGAATAGAAAGTTGGTTCTTCGAACAGGATGCTGGTAAGTACATACCTAATATGATTAAATCCTATAAAAGAAAAAATTAAAAGATTTCATTTAATTTCTAAAATCACTCATCTAATTTTTATAGAAACTTACTTCGTCAGGTACTACAATGTGATATTGTAAGGTGCTATTATGTCGAAAATTAGCGACAAAGAATTTCACTTCAAAAGGGGGAAATTCATATTCGATATGACGATATTTCGAATTGTTTTGTAATACGTCTTCGGATAACATGAAGGGATTTCTATTTCCCGCATCTTGGCACTGATCTTTACTACCCAAAAAAATAAATATATATTCCATAAACGAATCCTGATGTGGGTTCATCGCTCGCGTCGATTACTTGAAAAAAAAAATAAAAAATAAAAGAAAGAGAAATCCAAGAGTTTTTATATGATTGAATATATTATAATATACGTGTGATTACTTGAAAAAAAAAAAAAATAGAATACAAAATTCATCCTTTTGTTTATCGAATTTAATTTTTATGTGCTGCTTAGGAAGATAACATTAGTAAGGTGGTCACAAATAAAGTGAATTTTGAAATAATTTTTGAATTCAACATAATGTGGTAAGGAACTTACTGAATTTCGACAAGCTGTTGATCAGCACTTATTATGAAGTTTAAAAGCTACGTAAAAGTTATGAAAAATAATTTCTATTACTAGAGATTTTAAAAATATTATTGCAAAATTAAAATATTAATTTTGTATTCTATTTTTTTTTCAAGTAATCGACGCGAGCGATGAACCCACATCAGGATTCGTTTATGGAATATATATTTATTCTTTTCATAACAGTGTCACATCGTACTTTATCTGCTTGCCAATATTATTTAAAGTTTGATCTACTGTGGCTATAATCTAACCTTTTATTTACTACAGTAAACGCTACAGCTTTCATACTGTTTTTAAATTATTAATTATACTTACATTTTAGCGGTAATTTTTGTATTATAATTGCACAAGATAGAAATTTAATTATCACGTGGTTTGACATGCAAAAAAAATTTTTTTTTAATAGCAAAAATTAATTGTTATTGCAAAGCCCTATACGTTTAGATATTAAAAACCTCAGCAGCAGCTTTCTTTAGTTCATAGATACCATGGCGCTGCAATCACGCACAGAGCGGATACCAGCGAACTCAAAGTTCCACCCCCTACGAGGGAAAGGGAAACGAAAGAGAACTGTTAAATAGGCAGTGCGAGAGAAGAAGCCTTCCAGACAGTAATCAAACGGGCATAGTTAAACGTGAAACTGTGAGAAGTCTTAAAAAAATGGAACGTTGGTCAGGTAAAGTAGCATTAGTGACAGGAGCAAGTTCTGGGATAGGTGCTGAAATTGTCGCAGAATTGGTACGATATAATGTCAAAGTCGTTGCCATTGATATACAATTTAACAAGTTGGAGGAATTAAAAGCTCAAATGGAATCATTAAACTTACCGGGCACGATTTATCCTATGAAATGTGACCTCACTAAAGAAGAAGAAATTTTAAATGTTTTCAAATATATTCAAAAGGAACACGATGAAGTTAATATTCTTATTAACAATGCCGGTGTCGTTTTCAACGAAAAAATTCTTGGTAAAGTGTTTATCTTGATAAATTTTGTTTTTATTTACAGTTCATATATATATAAGTCATAAATTCTTAGGATACTTTATTAATTCAACTTATTGTTAGACAACGTGTTTGTCTTTATGTCAGTTAATTAACATGATATTACAATTACAAAAATTACAAAGAAATATAAATAAGAATATAAATATTCATTTAGATTTTTGTAGGTAGAATATTTTTTTGTTTAGAAGTACAATGTTAATTGTTATTGATATCACAAGTAATTAATAATTAATATATAAAATACGTGAGATATTCATAAGAATAAACATATTTCAGGATTTTTATAAATTACAAATAAGATTTTTAAAATAAATATATTTACAAGATTTAAGAAATTTTGTGAATTGGTAGAAAAATTTCTTTGCTATTTGTTTTAAATCTAAAACAAAGGGTAAAAAAATCTTTTTTTTTCTTTATAGGAACAATCAAAAACATTGATATACTTTACTAATAAAAGAGAATGTTTTTTAATGCATTTTATTAATACAATTATTAATTCTAATATTTGACATTTGTATAATAATTATTGTAAATAATTATTTTAAAGATTTATAAAATGAACTTTATAGATAATTTTACTTATGACATCTATAAACAGTATAAATAATTGATATTGAGACTTTAATTGCAAGACACGATTATTACAAGTAATTGGTTTAAAATGGAACCAGGATGAACAGCCTCTATATATTATACTATATATATAATTATACGTAATATACTTTTATCTGTCATTTATAATGACTTTGTAATTTAAATGTTAAGACAATTACTGATAAAATTTTACTTTCCTCTAAGAATTTTATATCTATAATTACGTTTAAACAAGTAAAGTTATATGTGTGTATTAGAATTGCATGATATTTTCTAAAGAAAAAAAAATGAAAACGAAATCGATATGCATTTAATTTGAAAAAGTACAATACAAAATAGAAATATATCGATATCGAGATCATATTCCTTTTTTGCAGATGACAAAACGGAAAACTTTCGTAATATTATGGACGTTAATGTGATCGCAGCTGCTATTTGCACAAGAGAAGCTGTTAGATTAATGTCCAAATCAAAAAATCAAGGACACATTATCAATATTAGCAGGTAAAGAAAAATATACTTTTTAATATTATGTTATTAATAATTGAAATTAGGACAAATAAACAAGTTTATTCTATACCTTATTATGGTTTCTTTTTTATCATGAATTTATTAAATATAAATTAATTTATTTATGCAGCATTTGTAGCCGTAATGCAGGAAACATAAAATTACCACTCAGTTTATATCCATGCAGCAAACATGCTTTAAGGGCTATGTGCGATAATGTTCGTAATGAAATCCTGAATGATGGATTAAACATTAAAATTTCGGTAATATTTCTATTATTTTTGTTTGTTTGTTTTTTCGTTACAAAAATGCTTTTATGTATTGTGCATAGTTTAGTAGTATTTAAATATATAAAATAAATCAACATTTATTAATTCGATATTAAAAAAGAAATGAATCATTGTTTATTATTCAAACAGAATATTAGCCCTGGTCTTGTGAACACTAATATGGTTAAACTTTTCAATGTACATCCAAAAATTTTGAGCAAACTGGCAATGTTATCAACAAAGAATGTTACTGATGGAATTATTTATGCATTAGCCAGCCCAATTAATGTTGAAGTAAGTACTATTTTTAAATAATACATATAATGTAGCATATAGAAAAATGATACTTAAGCATATAAATATAATATAAAAAATTCTTTAAGTAAATTTTATTAACTAAAATAAAATATAATTTTTGTTTTTAGATTAATGAATTAGTAATTACATCTTTGCACGAGGTTATACCTGCTAAAATTTAATATTAAATTATGTAAAAATACATATTTTATGTATAAGGAAATATCTTTAGGTAATGATGCCACACTAAACATTTAAAAACAAATTTAAATTAATATTATATAATAAAACAAAATATTTATACAGTATATTCCGAATATAAATTCATTGTTTATAGTATTTGTTATATAAACATATGTATATCAGCATACGTAAATACCTATTTATACGGATAATATATGTATATTAACCACTTCTCACCTCCTGTTGGAATTTTTTTCTCTATCTTTCATATCATTTAAAATTTTCATTCTGTACTATACATATAAAACATTTTGTATTATTCATTGACCTCTCAATCCTTGAATATTTTAACCAACGAATAATACAAAAGAGAGACAGAGTAGTATTATATAATATAAATAAATTATTAATACGATTTTTATATTCGTACATTTAAAATTCGTAACAAATATATAAAGACACTGTTAATAGTTTCTATTGCGCCCAATGATAGGCAAATTTCAGAAGCAATTTCATGCGTAATTTCGGGTTGCATTATTTCAAGAGTTATTTTTTTTATCCTCAATCAAAAATCTTTAAAATTATACATTTGACTCGAATGTAATAAAAAGAAAAGATTAAGTATTATCGTACAAAATCGTGACAATTTTATTATCAGTTCAATTAGGTATTGAAGCATAATATACCATTCATAATTATATATTATTATTATTATTATTATTATTATTAACTGAGATTAGGAACTCGACAGCTCATAGCCGCAAATACCAAATCCCGCCATTGTTCCCGTCTCTGAGCACGATCCTTCCATTCGCGGTCTTCGTATCCTATTTCTTTCAGGTCTCTTCTAATAATATCCTCCGAGACGTACTCGGTCTACCTAGTGGTCTTTTCCCGTTTGGTATACCGACCAAATATTTTGTGCGCCGTTTGATCCTCCCCCATGCGTGTCTTATATTATAATAACGAAAAATAAACAATTAGCTGAAAAAGAAAAAAATATCTTGAAAAAGGTAAAGTATGAGAGAATGAAGCACGGACTGTCACAAGGACACTTGTCGTCTTATGAAATTCCTCCGATATGTTCAAAATTTTATTTTTTTACTTACTATATTATCACTTGATGGTCAAAACAACATTTAAACGCTTTTTTATATAAACGAAACAGTGAAGCGTGCGTTGTGCATACTTTGCAATTGCAAGGTGAAGTGACCAGTTTCCTAGTGAGGTAATACCATGAATCCTCGCGGGTAACCGCGTGTGAAAGAAAATTAAATTTTTTTTTTTTAGCTTTTTTGAAATATGTCAGTCACCAAAATTTTTCAGAAAATGTCTTTTATACTCCTCTACACTCAGGAATTTTCTTGAATTTTTTGAAGTGGTGGAACAATATGAAAAAAATTAAAAACT